GTGGTGTGGTAGGGGTGGGCCGTGTAAGATAGAGTGCAGGTCTTATTCCTCCTCCTGCCCTGCCTGTCTTTCGTGTCCGCTCAAGCTTTCCCCCCCCTTTGAACGCTTTACCCTGCCCTGCTCTCACGACACGCGGGAATGATAATATTCAGATGCCGATCGCAACTCGAGTTTTTGATGATTGTTGTGATTTGGTTGAGGTTATACACATCTCAATCGGCCTCCCGATGAATTGCATTATATCTTTGGCCCGTCGGGGCCCTCGTGCAGCGTGTGGTTGAAAACGTACTTCCTATAGGCCGCTTCGCGGCGTTGCTGCACGTCCCGCTGACTGATACCGAGTTGTCATAGTCAGCTTTGCTGGCCCCCCGCCTGCCCCCTGAGACGTTGCGATAATGTATGTCCTTCGCGCCCACCGCCTGCGCCGTCCGCGTGTGGACGGGGACAAAACCACCGAAACGGAAGCCGCCGCCGGTCTCGGCAACCCTCCGCGCGGTTCCCGCCCCCGGCTGCGCGACGAGCGGCGCGACGCCCTGCAAGGGCCCCTGCAGGTGAGGCGCCGAAGCGGCGAGGGGCTGCTGCGCCAGGCGCCCCAGCGGGCGCCGCCCCGACGGCACCAGGCGCAGCCACGAGAGTCCCCCCGCCGGCGCCTGCACCCACGACCTGGCCCACGGCGTCGAGCGGCAGCAGCCGCGCGAAGCCAGGAGCAGGCGGGCCTCCGCCGTGCGCCGCGAGGAGATTGCGACCCTCTGACTCGGCCTCGTCCTCGGCAGCCTGCTGGCACTCGGCGTCGCGCGCGGGCGTCGGCTCCTGCCTGAAGCGGTGCACCCGGCCCCGCGGCGCGCCAGCAGGGATGTCGCGATGCCCCTGGCTCCAGCGCGCGGCCACCACGTCGGGCGAGGTCGGCGACCAGTCCTCGGCGTAGACGCGGGCGTCGGCTGTGGCGGCGACGTACAGGTACAGCTTACCAGCCGAGTGCGCCACCTCCCCGTGCAACCTCCTTGGATGCCACAGCGGCTGGCCGTCCACGTTGCATAGGACGTAACTCCAGCTCATCGTCACTGTCGGCCTTCTTGATCGTCACGCGGTAGACCTGCCGAACCACCCGCTGCAAGGCGAAGGCGCCCGTCACCAGGCCAGCGCCGACGACGATCCCGAGGAAGAAGATGAGGAAAGCCCGCAGCCCGAGACCAGGGGCGGTGCAGGCCTCGGCCTCCTCGCTCCGCACTAGTGCCTCTCCCGCCGCGGCTGTCGCCGATGCCGGGCGACAAGCTGGGCAGGCTGGGCACGCTGGCACCGCGCACTCCCCGCAGACCAGCCCTGGGCAAGGCGGGCAGCCCGAGCTCGGGCAGGCGGGGGTCGAAGGGCAGCGGGCGGCGTAGTTCACGATCCCCTGGGTCAGGTACTCGGGGCCCCGCTCGAGCAGCCAACCCCGCATCCACCGCGCGCGGTGTGGCGGCTTGAGTTTTTGAAGCTTGAGCCACCGCCGTTGCGGCGAACAGAAAGGGGTTTCGGTTCGTGTCGACTGGGGGTCGAGCGGCTGCAATCCGATGAGACGCGCAGGGTTCACGTACAAGTACAACCCATGATGATGATGCTGCTGCTGCTGCTGATGATGATGATGATGATGATGATGATGATGATGATGATGATGATGATGATGACGCTGATGATGTGATCATGATGATGTGATAATGGTGATGAGATGGTGACTGTGGTGGGGTTCCTCGTCCTCCTTCTCATCAACCTCCTCGTCCTGCTCCTCTATGCTCCGCCTGCTCCCTCTCCTCCTCCGTGCCTGCTTGCCGCTCGGGGCTGTTCGAGCATGCGCGCCTCCTTCCCCTCCCGAGACCGCCGCTCGGCCCCCCTGCGCGCTCCCCAGCCCCATTCTGCCCTGCTCCCCCCCCCCCCTCTCACGCAAAAATCGGTGGGCCGATGACCGCAAGGCCGGAGGCCTCTCGAATGGTGTCCGAGCAGATGGGGCCGGAAGATCGCGCCGCATCGCCGATGCACCGCCGATGCATCGGCGGTGCCAGCGATGCATCGGCGCCGTCGGCGTGGAGATGATAGGGCTCGACATCGAGCCGCATCGCCGATGCATCGGCAACGCGGCGCGATCGCCCGACCCCATCTGCTCGGACCCTACCTGGGAGGCTGGGTACGGAAAGCATGGGTACGCTGCCCAACAACAAGTGTGATCCCAAACCGACAGCCGCCGCTGTTGGGCAGGTGGCCTTCTGTCTCAAATGGGCGACGTCCGCGGCAACACCGACAACGAGTCCTGTTCGAAATGATCAGGACATGGTGTCGGTCTTCGTACCCATCCTTTCCGTATCCGTTTAGATCGTACCGAGAGGCGTGGGAAGGCCTGATCCAAAACTTGGCCAGGTGAACAGACAAGGATCCTACGCAGTGGGAAGGGACGGCCAGGAGGGGAAGGTCGTAGGTCCTTACGTGGCGCGAGCGTGCACAGCTTGTCAATCACCTCTCTCCTTGCTCCCTTTCCCTCTCCCGCTTCTCGGGCGTCTCGTAGGGGCGGGGGGGCGACAATTTGGGGGGGCTCGAGGGTTACAAAACAGGGGCCCCATATCAGCCCCCTGGTGCGCATAGACAGCCCCCCAAGTGGTCACGGCTGGCCTCAACAGGCCCCCCCTGAGTAGCCCCAGATGGTCTCAACAGGCCCTCCGAATAGCCCAAGGCGGTCTCACCATCCCGACCCAGGGGCGCGGAGCGCCCCAGGGGCGCCGCCGGAGGCAGCGCCAGGATGTCGAGGCCGCCGCGGACTACTCGGGGGGCCTGCTGAAGCCAGCCGGGACTGCCTGGGGGGGCTGTCTGCGCGCAACCCGAAGCCTTGCCACGAAAGGTGCACCAGTCTTCCCCAGACATGCGACGCCCTGCTTTTTTCAGTGCGCGATCCCCGGAAATCCCGACCCTTTCCCGGGGGCCAGTTTTTCATCTCGAACCTCTGTTTTGACGGTCCCTGGGCCCTGTAAGGGCCCCCAAAGGCCGAACATTGGGAAAAACCTCCGCCCTGTTTTGTTCAAGACGTTGCGTGTCTGGGCCTCCCTCCCGTTCATCCCCATTGAGCACAGCCCAGCCTTCTCCCAGCAAATTTTCGGCCAAGCCCGGCGTGCCCGGCCAGCTTGTGCAGCTCCACGACGCGGTCATCGTCGTTCTGGGTGGCGCAGTGAGCAAGCGCCTGGCTGCGCAGAGGAGCTCTTTTGTTGTTGGCTCGGCCAGGCGCCCATGAATTCCCATGTGGAGAGGAGCCGCAGTTCCAGCTCGACTGGACTGTGACTCCCTCGCCGAGCTCCGACTGGCTGAGCCTCCTTCTGAGTAGCAAACCAATCTTCGTCCGCCACCTCCTCCTCCCGACGAAGAGCCTCGCGCACAGTAGCAAACTGAGCACACGAGCAAGATGGGGGGCGGAGGACAACATGGAATCTATACGCAAAAAATTGTTATCAAAATTAGTGCAGCCCAAGAAGACAGACTGTGCAAGCCTGCTTAACCGAACTAGCGGTCTAGGTCTAGGTCTGGAAATCGACACACTGTGCAGACACGACAACAACATCCAGAGAAAACTGCAGAAAAGAAGAAAAGAAAGGAATGGGGGAACAGACGACACTACAACTCTAAGAACATCTTCACAGTCAACCCTGGAAGATAAATCAGACTCTGATCTGGAAGCTGCTTTTCTTAATAATCACTACGGGTGTAGGATGGATGAGGGAAGGCGGGCAACAGAAGGACACGTGTAAGAGAGAGGAGGCAGGATGGAGGGATGACAGCGGCGGGCGAGCGCCTCAAGCTTCGAGGGTTCCCATCCCGAGGGCACGCTCTGGTGCGTGATCCAGTGCATCAAGCAGCTGAGGTGGTGCATGAGCTGATTTTCGCAGCCCTTCGGAGGTGGAAAGGAGGATGGAAACCAGGAGTGGAGAAGAAGGAGGACGAGGAGGAACGAACGAACCTTCATAGGTGCTGGTCTGCATTAACTGCACTGGCAGCGAACGAGAATCGGCCCTTGCAGCCAAAGAGTTTCAGGACGGGTCCGCCCAAAGAGATCTTGAGGTGCTAAAGCATGCAACAAAAGGATGCAAACTGGGGATACCAAAAAGTATCGATACCGCTACTCCCCGGACCTCTTCCAGGGTGCGCTCTGACTCGGATTTCGAGGCGAATCCAGCGGTTGCGACGAGGGCCCCCAGGGAGGCCCCAAACAGGCGAAATCGACGGAAAGGTACTCTTTCCTCCTCGACACACGACAGAGAGCTGGCACATTCCAAGCCCAAGGCCCGCCACTGAACGCGAAACCCTCCGAGGACGAAGCCACTCTGGGGCGCTTCCGGGGTGGGGTGGGGCGGCGGGGTGTGGTGTGGGGTGAGAGCAGAGCATCCACCCTCACAACAAGCACCCTGACAAGCGAAGCCGCTTCGTAAACGCACCCGTGGAAGGAATCGAACAGGGCAGGGCTGTTCAGTAAACGCTCAGGGGCGTTTGGTAAACGCCAATTATCGGGGTTGGGATCAGGGTGTTTTTTCCTCCCTTGAGGGGGGCGGGGGCGGCTCGTCGAGGAGAGGTGCTGCAGCTGGGCCAGCAGGAGGAGGAGGAGGAGGAGGAGGATGAGGAGGAGGAGGAGGAGGAGGAGGAGGAGGAGGAGGAGGAGGGGGAGAAAGAGGAGGAGGAGGAGGAGGTGGGGAAGGAGGAAGAGGAGGTGGGGTAGAAGGAGGAGAAGAAGAAGCAGGAGGAGGGGGAGGAGGAGGAGGAGGAGGAGGAGGAGGAGGAGGAGGAGGATGGTGCTGATGATGATGCTGCTGATGATGATGATGCTGATGGTGATGATGTGGAGGGGGATCACGAGGAGGATAATGAAGTGGAAAACAATGAAGGTGATGAGGAATACTAGTAGGAACTCGGGACGCAAAAAGCTCAAGATGAAGAAGGAAGGGCTCTTTCCAACCGGCCCAAAGCCTGCCGCACGTCCCGCGACAGCGATGTGTTTAGCGAGCGGATCGCCACGTGGCCGAGCCCCACCAGCGCCTGCGCTGCGTGCTCCTTCCCCTCCTACTGCGGCTGTTCATCCTCCTCCTCTGAGCCTCCTTCTCCTTCTCCTTCTCCTCCTCCTCCTCCTTCATTCCTTTCCCTGGTAAATGACTTCTCCATGTCGCACCCCGAGGCTGGTTTTTAGGGCGGGCAGGGAGTTTCGCCTGAGACTTCCTCATCAGTTATGATTCTGAAGCTTACACACTGACAAGTGTTTCACAAATGGAGGGCGGGTCGTTTTCAAAATGTGGTTCTCGCCTTAGCGCGGCGCGCATTCGTTTCAAATATTTGCAAGAGTTTCGCGGATTGAGGGCGGGTGGTTTTCAAAATGTGGCTCTCGCCTTGGCGCCGCGTGCACTCGTTGAACAAAATTACAAAAGCTTCACGGATGGAGGGCGGGTGGTTTTCAAATCGCCTATCGTTCTGGCGCCGCGCACGTTCATTTCAAACATTCGCAAGAGTTTCACGAATCGAGGGCGGCTCATTTTCAAACTATGGCTCTCGCCTAAGCGCTGCGTGTATTTTCCTTAAAGACAGTGAAAGCATTTCACGGATTGAAAGCACTTCCTTTTCAAAATGTGGCTCTCGCCTTAGCCCGGCGCACATTCGTTATAACATTTGCAACAACTTCACGGATTCCCACCATCGGCGTACCAGACATAGCATTTGGGAAAGATGCAGGACCTTGCGGGTGCAACAGTTACGTTGGCTCGCTGTGCTGTGAAATCCCAAGAATGGCGTTCTTGCGCGATTCAGGATCGTCGAGATGCAACAGTCAAGTTGATCCGTGGTGTTGGAATCCCGAGAACACTGTTTTGCATCCCTCGCTGTCTGGCCCTGCCATGCGCGAAGCGTCTAATCTGTGCAGAGGCGCTCCGTTTTTCTCGAGAGAACAGTCGCCGCCAGCACTGAGAACGAGCAAGCCACGAAGCAGATCGCGATTCAGAAGATTCTCACCATGCAGGCCGAGGAGGCCGAAACACAAGAGAACGCAAGACCAGGGAGGGAGGGGGGGGGACTTGAGCAACGGGCAATGGAATGGACGGCAGCGGCAACGACAACGAGGGATTAAAAAAAGTGTGCAACACTAAACTGTATCCCCCGCTGTCTGGCCCTGCCATGCGCGAAGCGCCTAATCTGTGCAGAGGCGCTCCGTTTTTCTCGAGAGAACAGTCGCCGCCAGCACTGAGAACCAGCAAACCACGAAGCAAATCGCGATTCAGAAGGTTCTCACCAACCTTGAAAGGTGCCACGCACGCGAAGTCGATGGCCGTTCAGGCCGTCAAACCATGAGCTTACATTGATGGACCAGCGGCGGCTGTTCGGCTTGCGTTCAAGAAAATTGGATGGCAGATGCTCAGCCTGATCCACTTGCAGAACGACATCGGCTAACAGTTCCGCCTCTACGTCGCCGCGCCGTGGGACCTGGAAAGAGCAACTGTCTGCTGCCATCAGGAGAGTGCATATGGTCAGACTTCGGGGTCATGTGCTTGAACGTATTGGGGACGAAATGAGATGGAGACGGGCGATGAAACAAAAAAAACGCAATGTTGAAAGCACCGACAGGACCTCAGCGGGGTGCATTACGCAATCTGTGGTCAAGTGGAATGTTGTGCCATGGGCGTGCGAGGGAGCTGGACATTTCCAGTTCTCGCGAGTGCCACTACTGCGGGGCTGCCAGGGGTGCGTTGTCTCACACATGGAATGGGTGCGAGGTTTTGGCGCAAAGGAATGATGCACTTCCCGAAGTGATTCCGCGGGGGTTTGTCGAGATGCGGGGCCAGCGGCTGAAGGAGGTCGAGGATGCAGGCGACAACCTCGCCACGTTCGGCCTCGCCGACGGCCTATCTAGGGGACCGCTCCGACCAGCATTCCCTGAGACTCATCCTGAAGTATTCGAATGGGGAGATTGCGGTGCTCATCTGTGGGGGCCGATGTCGCGCGCAGATGCGTTGGGGCTGCGCAAAGGCCTCCCCACCCTTGCCAGGGTTGGCTGGTCGGTGGTGCCGCTCTGCCCTCTCGCTGGATGGCCTGCGCGCGCCAAATACGGACGCCTACTAGGATTTGATCAAACAGTCCCCTCAGGTGAACGCTATGCAATGTATTAAGCGCTACCGTCCATGAAACGACCTGATTTGATTGTACCGGGCCATCGATCAGTTGTCAGAGAAGCGAGCAGCTGTCCCGACAAACTCGAGTACCAGAGGAACGTGATGCGAAATTGTGGCGAGGGTAAGGAGCGGTGCGCGTTTTTTAAAGTGCCGTCCCATTGTGACGTGCAGCAGTACGTGGAGGAAGGAGGTTCGTTCGCTCACTAGTGTGGTATCTCGTGGGTCGACTTATTCGCACATGCGGGAGCAGTGGGCATCACTATCGCCAGTGCCTGGGCCTTGGATCACAAAGGCCTGCTCGGTACTTGGGGTTATTGGTATCACGTGCGGTCAGATCATGCCAAGAGGTCGGCGCGCAACCCGAGGACGAGGATCGTCGCATGCCCGTTCTTGAGTTGAATGATACGTCTATGATACGTGCACATTGTCTGAGGGAAGCAAATACGCCTGCCAATGATCAGACACTGCTGAACTCGAAACGCACAGGCCCCGCAGTACTCGGTGAAGAACACATCCTTGCCATATTGGGTCCCGCTGTGATCTACGAAACGTGTGGAACCTACTCTCCACACATCAGTAAATGTGCCCGTAACGTGCTTAATGTGTGTTTCCCCCGAGCAACATATCTATGCAAACTAACGTTAGCTTGCACATAATGCGTGTGCGACAAGGGCTTGAACCGCGTTCAGACAAACACATTGTCACTGAGCAGCGGGCCTCACAACAACTCTCTCGCACCACCTTGCTCCCTCCCTGGCCCCTCTGGGGGCCAGAAGGCTGGACCAGGGAATGCCTGCCGCTTGCGGCTAGTACGGATGCTCGGTTTCCTGTGGGGCTCGCCCTGACTGTCCAGCGTTTGGCTGGCAGAGTCCTCGTGGCTCAGTGCCCTGGGGCCCCCTCCTCTTGAGGTCCTTTGGGCTCCAGGCTGATGCCTTCTCCCCCTGGCGCTCTGGCCTAGGCGTGGCTTCTGGTGGTTTCCTTTCGGGTGGCCTCATTGGCCTGCCCTGGTGCCGTTATGGTGCCCAACGGTGCCCTAAGGCGCCCTCCACCTCGGCCCCCTCCCGTTCCATTATGCTTAGGTTGGGGCAGCTGGACACTGACTCTCCCCCTCGCATCCCCTCCCTCCCTCCCTCCCTCACTTCCTCCTCCTTCTCCCTCTTTTCCTCCTTATCCTCGCATGACCCATCCCTTCTGCCCCCCACCCTTCCCAAATCACCCTACGACCAACGCAATCGAGTTAGAACCACGCAGCAGAACCATTGGAGCGCTTGCCTCCTCCGCCTCCGTCTCCCCCCTCCCCCCTCTTTCCCTTTTGTTTTCGTTATTCTCATCCTCTTCCCCTTTGCAGTACGGTTCAGAATTCATTTCTCTTCGTATCCTCTCTAGCACCACTTATACGTTCCTATTACCAGTGCCGGCTTAATCCATGTCTCTAAATCCTTCTGGCTTCTCATACGCACACGCACACACATGTTTGTACATGCGTAAAGTTCGCTATTAATGTGTTTCTCCTCTTCCTGTTGCCAAGCGCCTGCGCAACGCTCTCCAATTGCTGTCGCACCTGGTGGTAGAGCACCGTGGCGGTCGCGTTGGCGGCTGGGACCGAAGGGAGGAGGCGGATGAGGAGAGGGAAAAGGAGGAAGGCGGGAGAAGGAGGTTGGGTAGGAACAGGATGGAGGAGCTCTGAGGAGGGAGAGAGGATGAGGCACAGGAGGAGGGAGGAGGGAGAGCGGAGGAGGGAGAGACGGAGGAGGATTCGGAGGAGGAGGAGGAGCAGGAGCTGGAGGGGGGGGAAAGGCGGGAGGAGGGATGATGAGGATGGTGGTGACGCGGAGGATGAGGAGGACGAGCCGAGGATGAGGTTGAGACCGCGAGCCCGCAACGCTCGGGACCCCTGGCCCACTCGTCCTGGCTCGGCGCCGCGCTCCCCTCGCTGCTGGCACTGCCGAGGCGCGACGGGGCGTCTTCGACGGTGGCGCTCGCGAGTGCCTCCGCCGAGCTCTCCGCGCTGCTCCCCGCCGCGTCTGCCGAGCGGTCCTCCGCCGAGCGCCCGCACGCGGGGTGCTCGTCCTCCGGAGGGGCGGGGTGCTCCTGCGGGTCCACCGGCCGCAGCGTGATGGCAAGTCCTGGGCGGGAAAGGGGGGCGGTGGTGGAAGGGGAGGGGGAGGGACGGCGACGAGTGCGAGCATGAGGGGTGAGGGGGTGGGGGGGGGATGAGGAAGAGGATGAGGAGGAGGACGGCGGGGAGAGGATTCTGATGTTTATGATGGGGAGGGGGAGGAGGAGGAGGAGGAGGAGGAGGAGGAGGAGGAGGAGGAGGAGGAGGAGGAGGAGGAGGAGGAGGAGGAGGAGGAGGAGGGGCTTCGAGCCCAGTCCTTCGCGATGCAACGCGGCACAGCATTGCCGGGACCACTCCGCCTGCCGCGCGTGCACCTGGGGCGGGTATCTGCTCAGCCCCAGTGAAGACTGGAAGATGAGAGAGCTACTCGAGCGCAGGGTTGCTCATCACTGCACGCTACAATATGAATGTATGGCTGCCTTCGTCATCATCCCTCCCACTCCCCTCTTCCTCCTCCTTCTCGCCCTCCCTCGTCATCATCATCCCTCCTTCCTCCTCCTTCTCGTCGTCCTTCCTCCTCCTCCTCCTCCTCCTCCTCCTCCTCCTCCCCCATTCCCTCATCCCCCCTCTCCTCCTCTTTCCGTCTTCCTCCCCAGTCCCCCCTCCCTCCTCCTCGTCCCTCTCTCCTTGCCTCATCTCGTTTTTTCACGCGATAATGAGCATCATCCGATGCCTTCGATCAGAGCACCAGCCCAGCAGAGCGTGGCACCGCGAACACATGAATACAAAGTGTTCCAGCATGCCGCGCATCCTCTGCAGCCCTGGGGCTGTCGAACAAGGCCGCCACGAAGGCCTCAGGCCCAGAGACACGATTCCAACCTACAAACTGTGACATAACCTTAGGAACTTGAGCTCCCAACTGGAAATTCCAGCATGCTCAGTCGTGCGAATCCATGTGCAGGTGACTGAATCCATAAATCACCTACCCCCCCGCGGCCATCATCTATGACGCTGCCGTCGAACCACAAACGATCAATGTTATCGCAAGCCCCACCACTCCTTCGAACTGTATCTGAGCACACGCTGCCGCGCCAGTGCGGCTCGCCCAAGTATGCAGTGAAGCAGGCGGTCACGAGCGTCGTGCAGTGGAACTTGGGATCTTCATGTGCGGTTCAGACAGTTGGTGACAAGCAAGATCCCCCTATCATCTTCAACCTTCGGATGAGTTGCCAGCTGCATCTAAAGCACGGGCCGCCGACTCTTCTGCGCAGGCGCTTTGGGCTGCTTCGTGCTGCTTGGTCTTGGCCAGGCCTCTGCTCGAGAGTCTGCGTGTTGAAGGCGGCGAAAGCGTTGTCCCGAAAACAACACCAGGTCTCAGGCCACGTTGATCTTAGCACAGGCTCCTGTTATATGTCAATGCACGTCCGCAACGCGAAGGGACCGAACTCATTGATGTCGAGATGGGACATGCTCTGTGCTGTATGTCTGCGCGGGCAGGGCATGGTCTGCCCCGCTCTTAGATGAAATGCATCCAGTGCCCGAGTCGCAGGTCTGACGTACCCAGCGCCCTGGAACTTTTCGCGCGCTGCACGAAGTGTTCCTCCGCACGAGGATCGTTCAAGTCCCTTCTGTGCGGCGCCGCAGGCTTCCATATCGCCAGCGTAACACATCTTCCAACGTGCATCCGCCTCCGACCAGATCCAAGACCCTGCGCAATACAATGCTATGGACCGCACCCGTTTCACGAACTCGCTCATCCTTCTCCGTCCATCCCTGCGTCCCTCCTTCCTACCGTGCGAAGCACCAGGAGGGGCAATGCGTTTCGGGTCATAGCTCGGGTCTCCGGCGGCCCGTTCGGGACGATCCGGGCACCCCTGGAGCGCTGTCGGCGGAGCGCAGCCGCCGGAACGCATCCCATGGATGAGCATCCGTCGAGCACTGACGACGACGCCCGCACACCGCGCACCTCGATGCAGAGAGTTGGGGGCTTCCTGAGGCCTTCTGGGCGCCCCCAGCGGTCCTCCTGGGTGCCTCCTTTGGAAAGCGAGGCGCCGATATGCGCTCTGGTGCCCTCGAGGGGGGGCCCAGACGCGCCTTGTCCAAGTGCACCTTCAGCTGCTGCAGCGTTCCGCTTGTCACGCACTTTCCAATCTGCTCGTGGCACATCATGATGTCATACCTGCTGGAAGAAGAGGGGGAGGTGGGAGGGGAATAAGGAGGGAGAGAGGGCATGTGGAGAAGGAGGGAGGAGGAATGAGGTGAAGGGGGAGGGGGGGAGGACAAATGATGTGTGAGGAAAAGAGGACGAAGGGAGGACGAGAAGGGGGGGATAAGGCACTGCAAGGGAACGTCGCGCAGTGCACAGACGACCACCTATGGGAGGGGCGCCACGAATGGACGTGCCACCCATGCCCTGCAGCATGCGGAGACCCACCGAACGGATCTCGGCCACCCGCACGCAAGGCCAAACTTGTTATGAAGACACCGAATTCAAGAGTTAGCGCGGCCTCAGAGGGCTGAGGCCGCCAGTGCCCAGAAGAAAAGGAAACCCCATCGGGTTTCGGGGTCCGTGGCCAGGAGCGGCCTCGGACCAGGGATAAGCCGACCATCGGCCTTCCCCTCGTCGGCGGGGTGCCGTCCCGAGAGAAAAAGGCGTCGGTTTCGCTGGGCACGCTCTGACATGGTGTGCCCTTCATGTGCTTGACAGTCTATCACTAAGTGGCCCGACGTGCCAGTGCTGTAAAATCCCCACGAAACGCAAAGCACCACCTGCCCCGAGGAGACCCAGAGACGGTGGCCTCTCGCGGATTCCGCGGGGTCCACTCCTTGCAACGGCACGGGGGCGGCGGGAATGGTTTCATCAGCCCTGGTGGGCCGATTGTTCCGTCTAGAGGTAGTGCGACGACGCTTGGCACTCGGCACAAAAGCAGGTCCAGTGCGCGTACGGGCCACTGTAGAGGCTGACCTAGCATCCACAGGGGCCCAAACCCTCTCGCTCGCAACCTGCAACAGGCTTGCATCAGGAGAGCTATACTCAATGGTTATGTTAAAGTCGACTCGCCTCCTGACGCTACGCGTGCTAGGAGACCTGGGACGCTCACGCGTCCTGATGTCAGTAGGTTTCAAACGTTGATGACGGGCCTCCTGAGGCTCGCCGTCTCGCTCGCGCTTCAGGCCCTCCCTGCCCCGCGGAGTCCCTTGGAAGTCCACGAACCCAGGAGAGCCTAGGAAAGGGGGAGGCTGCAAGGAAGTGGCAGCACGGCCGTCGGCGTCGGTGCCTGACGACGCAGGGGACGACTGCTCACCGCCTCTACCGACCTCTTCCGAAAACTGACGATCACCAGGAATCCCGACGTTCGGGAGAGCCGAAGCGACCTTACACATCCCAGGGACAAAACCACGGGCCAGGCACCTGTCGGCGCCCATCCGCTTCACCCAAGTTTCGATCTTCGCCTCCACCCTACAACATTTTCAATGCCATATATTCTCTCGGGTCTTAATCATGACGTGACGCAGGTTCGGGTCTATCAGCACATCAGGGGACGACACTCGCATCGGCCTAACTCTCTTGCTAGGGCGAGGCTCGGTCTGGATTCGCCCAAACCCAACATGGTGCATGTGCGCAGTCACAAGCCAGCGCAGCACATGTCGGACAGGCATCAAAGCAACACGCATCGCTCGCTTAGCTGAGCTTTCAGGCGCGTGAAGGTCCCGACCCTGTCGCGCGGCCTGGTCAGCCCAGCGGTTGCCTCGGGCCTCAAACGAGTCCCCCGATTGGTGCCCCCGAGTGCGCGTGACTTGTATGGCCTCTCCAAGGCCCCCGAGATCCTCAATCTTGGCCCAGATGGAGGTCCATAGATCTGTATTGGGCCTGCGAGGCCCACATGTAAAAGCAGGGCCTGCAGCAATCCCATCTATGATCGATCCCCAAGAAGACCGTATGGACGTGAATGGGTAAGATACATACGCTCAGTACTTGAAGAAATACATATAGTTCGGCACGCGGAGAGCTCTGAGAGGGCCCAGGAAGAGCACCGTAGACCAGCAGTTCAATGCCACCTGGCCCGTCCTGCAACTTTGCAAACCCCCAATCCGCTCTCGTAGCTTCTGGCCAGAACCACGCTTTCTGACATGCACCGTCCGTGAAGATTTTTCCCGTGGCCATGTCGAGAGAGCCATACTGCACGTGCCATCGATGCGTGTCGTCCCGCCTCGGTAGCGGCGGGAAACGCGATCTACACCGATGCCAGCACAGCTGCGCCTCGCGCCTCTCACCGGTCATCGTTGCATCTCACATGATGCGAACACACTGACCACCAGGGGCGTGTACAGCAGGAGACCGTGCGATGGGCGCACACGCATCAACCGTGCCGTCGTAGTTGTGGGCGCAGATGGTGTCGTGCTCTGCAAAGCCGTCGTCCTCCTCGCCAGCCAGGGCTGCCCAAACGCACGGGCCGCCAGCCTCAGTTGGCTCTGCCATCGTGCCGACGTGGCCCCACTGCTCGACCAATCCCCAGGGCGGAGCGCCAGGGGCTGCCCGCGGGACAGCGCGCACCACCGCGCGTACGGGCGCGAGCAACGCAGGAGGAGGAGGAGGAGGAGGAGGAGGAGGAGGAGGAGGAGGAGGAGGAGGAGGAGGAGGAGGAGGAACAGGAGCAGGAGGAGAAAGACAGATACTTACTGGGAGGGCGAACGGGGGAGGGAGGGAGGTGGAAAAAGAAGTTCGACTTGCGGTGCATACAGAGCTGGTGATACTGCTTCGTTTGGACCGCAGGAGCGGCAGTTAAGCGGGCTGGGCGGGCTCTCAGAGACCCATCCCGAGCGCAAACATGCGACGTCGTGCCTTTTTGCACAACGTGGACCCCTGGAAATCTAGACCCCTTCCCAGGGACCGGTTTTCCATCCTGGGTCTTTCTTTCACGCTCCCGAGGCCTGGCGAGGACCCCCAGGGGCCGAAAATAGACAACAACCGCCCGTTGTGATTCTTTCTACGACGCGAACATGCCTGGGAGGCCTCCTCCCCGGGAGGTGCCTGGTGCACCTGTTGAGCATCTCCTCGGCGTGGTGGCGTAGTGCGTGCTCGTGGACCTCTCCGCGTGGACGCCCCACGGGCTGACCGGACCAGGGGGTGGGGGTCAGGAACGAATACACAACCACAACCGCCGGGCTGAGGCAATCACCCCTGTCGCCCTCTCAAGGCCGACCCCGAGCCCCCAACGGTGATGATCTACGCGCGGAGTCCGGTTTCGAATGCCGCGCATGTCATCACCGCTGGGGGTTGAGGCCGACCATGGAGGTCGGCAGGGGCGGTTCCCTCAACCCAGCGGTTCTAATTGTCACTTCTTCGCCCATGAAGGGGGCAAGAGGCAATGGCAGCTCCAAGTTCGCCCTGAGGCTGGGGGTCACAAAATCGTCTGGTGACAAGTGGCCCAATGGCCTGCAAATTCTGGATAAACTTCCGAACGGGGGGTTTTTTGACCGCACCAGACAAACCCCAATCTGGGAATCTGGGGACCGCTAAGCCGTACACCAAGAAAGACGCTGCCATAGCCGGAAAAATAATCGCTGTAGCTGGAAGCTGAGATTACGCAGAGAGCCGTCATGTCCTTTACCTCCAACTCCTCTCCCGCCGCCTCCCTGTCCTCCTCCTCCGCCCCCCAAGAATTCGGGCCGACGTTGCGAACCAAAATGCATCATCGCGAAACAACGGCTAGAGCACTAGACCCAATCGCACCCTCACCCCCAGCCACGACCCCCTGGATCACCAGGTCGGGAGTGGGGGTCCTGGCTGGTAGTGGTGCTGGTTTTTGCTGTCCTAAGAACTTAGTATAAGGGGGGTCCTTCTCCCAAACATTGCTTGCACTTAGGGATTCGTGCTTCTGTCAAGGGCTTTTACTTCACTTCGTTCAAGCCATCGATTGGTATTCTCGGTTTTGTTGCTACGTTGCCGCCCGTGCCGCCTCGTGGGCGCCTCGCGGACGCCCCGAGCTTAGGGGGCATGCCGAGGTTGCGCCACGTTGACGTCCGTGGCGCCTCGTGTGCGCCCCGCGCTCTGAGCTTACGCGGCGTAGCTTTCACCACGTAGCTTAAGCCGCATGTGGTAGCTTACACCGCATGGTTTGCACTCCATGGCTGCCACCTCCAGCTCACACCTCCTCGCTCACCCGACATCTCTTACACCGCATGGCATGCACCGCACAGTTCTCATCTCACCAGCTCACACCACAAATATTTCACCGCATACCTTCCACCTCCATAATGCCATCACGCATTGTTTTTGGTCCACACGGGAGCCCTGAGACCTGGGCTTTGCAATTCATTTACGCCGGGCGTTTTCGCCCGGCCTCGGGCCGCGGGGTCATGACACACACACACACACACACGCACACGCACACACATCGACATTGAACGACGACTGCCGAAGAAAGAGATGGGGTCTACAGGGACCTGGTTGTGATTTGCTGCGGTGTTGCAAGTTTTCGCAACGCCTGCCCCATGGTGGGTTCGTCAAGCCCGCTAGGGGAGCAGAACGGGTGGCCCCTGCTTCTCCCCGCATCGTCCCCACCCACCCCTCCCCCTCCCCCCATGTCTCTCATCCTCTCGCCCCCTCCCCCCGCCCTTCCTGACCGCCCCCCCGTCCTATGGGCAGCGAGCGAGCTGCCCCCCTCCTCCTCCTGCTCCTCCTGCTCCTCCTGCTCCTCCTGCTCCTCCTCCTCCTCCTCCTCCTCTTGCTGCTGCTGCTGCTCCTCCTCCTCCCTTCTCCTCCTCCTCCTCCTCCTCCTCCTCCTCTTGCTGCTGCTGCTGCTCCTCCTCCTCCTTCTCCTCTTCCTCCTCCTCCTCCTCCTCCCCCTCCTCCTCCATTCTAGTTCCGTAGAAACAACTCCTCCCTGTCGCACCCCGAAGCGTGTCGGTAGCGCGGGCCATGCGTTTCGCCTCAATTTTCCTAACCGCGTATAATTCTGATTCTGACAGCTTGCAGCACTTTCACGGATGGAAGGCGGGTCCTTTTCAAAGTGTGGCTCTCGCTCCACCGCCGCGCGCAGTCGCCTTAACACCGTGCAGAAGCTGCACGGGTGGAAGGCGGCTCGTTTTCAACATGTGGCTCTCGCCCCAGCGCCGCGCACATCCGTCCTAAAAGCTTGCAAGAGTTGCACGGACGGTAGGCGGTTCCTTTTCAAAAAAGTGGTTCTTGCCCCAGCGCCGCGCACATTCATTGTAACAGTTTGCAGAATCTTCACGGATGGAGGGCGGCTCGTTTTCACAATGTGGCTCTCGCTCCAGCGCCACGCACATTCGTCTTAAGAGTTTGCGACAAATCACGGATGGACGGCGGATCCTTTTCAACATGTGCTCTCGTCCCAACGCCACGCCCGTTCGTTTCTAAACATGCATCACGGGTAGAGGGCGGCTCGTTTTCAACATGTGGCTCTCGTCCCAACGCCGCGTACATTCGCCTTGAACATGTTTGCAATAGCTTCACGAATGGAGGGCGGCTCGGTTTCGGAATGTGGCTCTCGCCCCAGCGCCGCGCATAACTCCCTTGACACATTGCAAAACAATCACGGATAGAAAGCGTGCTGTTTTCAACATGTGGGTCTCGCCTTAGCGCCGCGCGCATGTCTCAAAGGTTGCAACAATTTCATGGATGGAGGGCGGGTCATTTTTCAAATGTGGTTCTCGTCCCAGCGCCGCGCACGTTCGTTATACAAGTTTGCAAGAATTTTCCGAATGGACGATGGGTCGTTTCCAACATGTGGTTCTCGCCTTAACGCAGTGCGCACTCGTCTGAACAAGTTTCAACCGTTTCACGACTTCTTGTGGTTGACGCGCCAGAAACAATGTTCCTTACGATTTGGGATTGCCAGGGCGCAGCAATCACGTTGATTCGCGGTCTTGAAGTAGCAGGGATGCTCTTCTGGCACGATTCAGGCTTGCTAGAACGCGCCCGTCAGGCTGATTCCTGGTGTTGAAGGCCCCTCCATGGTGTTCTGGCACGATGCAGGATCATCAGGACGCAGCAATAAAGTTGGTTCGCGGCGTTGAAGTCGAAAGAGTGGCGGTTTGGCACGATTGATCTCAAATTGCTGTCTTCCAACGGGGCATTTTCGGAAGTGAAAACAAATTGTAGGAGAGGCGTGTGAAGAGGGAACTTGGGAGGGGCGCGACATGTTTGGGGAGCAGCCGTGCACAGCCAGTTTGCTCTTCGTCGAGAGCTCAGTGAAGGCCTGGTGTGAGAAGCGGGGACGAAGCTGGAGCCCAATACCGCAGGGCGGGAGCTGGAGCCAAACGTTCTCAGCTACTGTTTCGGTATGCCCTCCAGGGCTACAACTCACGGGGAAGCCTTGCCGCCCAGGATGGGCCTGGCGGTTGGTGCTGTCTCCTCTCGTCGACCGTGTTGTCGTGCTCACAATAGGGTTGATCAGGCCACTCGAATCCCACTCGAATCGAATCTTCCTCCTTCCCCGCGCCACCCCACCCCGCGTTCGCCCTCGACCTGAAAAACCGACTGCAGCTGGGTCACCCGCTCGACCAGTTCGCCGAACTTTTCCGCGACTGAGGTTCCCAGGTCCGAGAAGTCCTCGGACTGCCTCTGGGGGCAGCCATATCCACAGGAGTTCAGGATACACATGCGATGGGACATCTTGCTGCAGCAGTAGGGATGTTAGTGTGTATGTGGGGGTAAAGGCACGTGTGAAACCATTTACACATATATATATATACATATATGTATATATATATATACACACATGTTCGTACATGCACGTGCAGCACTGCTTGGTTATACATACATACATACATACATACATACATGCATGCATGCATGCATGCATGCATCCATCCATCCAAACATACATACATACATCATGCATACGTACATACATACACATGTGTATATAGACCTATGCAACACATCAATAACCTCCACCTCATCGCACACGTCCCTCGAAAACCTGCCCACTGTCCGGAACCGAAAATTGCCCCCTCCGAGAGGTTGTCAAAACACGTCTCCCCGAATGGGGCTTAAACCGGTTATCTCGAGGGGCGCCCAAGAGGCTCCGAGAGGCACCCAAGAGGCACCCAAGGCGCCCCAAGAGGCTCTGAAGACCGCCGCCAGGCCCCGAAGCGTCCCAAGGCGCCCCAAGAAACCCCCCAAAGGCCCCCAAGGCGCCCCACCAAGCCCCAAAGAGCCGCTAGGAGGACTTCACGACGACCCAAGAGACCCCCAAACGCTCCCGAAAGACATCCCGAAGAACTCCGAAAGGCATCCAAGAAGCCTCTGGCCCACAGAGGCCCCCCGAATCCTCCAAACGATGCCACTCATCCCTCGATAAAAACATCTTCCCTGGGCATCGTGCCTGGATGGGTTTGTGGGTATATGCGAAGCGTTCGGAATTCAAGCTCCTTCCTGCTACGCTGTTGCGCAGGCGCGATGGATGGGTTTGCCGCAGGCAGCTGGGTGAGTTTGTGTATATTTCTAGGAGTCAAAATCTGTAAATGTATGCACCTCTCCGAGGGAATAGAGCTCAAAGGCGATTGACAGAAACCGTCCCGTTCGCGTTTTTTTTTTTTTTTTTTTTTTTTTTTTTTTTTTTTTTTTTTTTTTTTTTTTTTTTTTTTTTTTTTTTTTTTTTTTTTTGTATATTGTTATATTATAAATTTCAGTCTCGCACAAACGATCCCCAACATTCGGAAACTCAGAAGCACCCCTCACGCAAATCGCGACGTCACGGTCCAACAGCGCAAGGGGTCTTCAACATCTTAACACACATGAGACACAACTGATTTAACTGGCTTTGGACGTCGCTTTTTAAACCGCAGCAATTTCGCGTGAAACGTCCCACAACATCGAAGCCCGACTTGATCAACATTGTCCCCGTGTTCTTCAAGACGGCAGTTTTTCCCTCGGGACATCCTCCAAACACTGGCTTCGGCGATAATTTTCGACTGCAATCGCCAGGTGTGGAACGCCCTCCTGCGCCACACGCGTCGCAAGGTGTGGCAAACCCACCTGCGTTCGACTGCATCCCGCTGTTGCACCTCCTTCCCAACAAACCCCTGATGGTCTTCACTTTCCTCGTCTTCTCCACTTTCCTCTCGCACGCATGCATCAAATTTCGAAACACCGAGCTGGAGCTACTGCTGCTACTGCAACTGCACACCGCTCAAGTTGCACCAGAGGGGAATGAAGGGGGAAAGGGGGCAAGGAGAGGAGGGAAAGGACAGAGACAGAAGGCATTGCCCAGCCCAGCTCCTGCCGCTGCTGGTGAGGCCATTGCCAACAGCGGAGAAGGGGGAGGGAGGGAATGACCACCGACCTCCCGACAAATCACTGGGCGCCCCTTTTAACTCGGAAGCGCTGCGGCTCCCTTCTCGCTCGCCACAGGAGTTCACTTTGGGAGCGGCAGGAGGAACTAATCCCCTTCGCTCATTTGGGATTTGCTAGCTCGGATGTGGGGCAAGGGGCGATCCTCCGACCTCCCCCGCCGAATAAGCACGCACACGCAAAGCGACCAACGCACGCATGCACCCATGCTCGAATCCCTCCTCCGCTCCGCCTCCACGCCGCTCGCGGCACCAGGAACAGTCGCCAGCATGCTGTGAGCAGAGCAGCTGGCCTGCTCAGCAGGCGCTCACCACTGTACAAGGTGGGTGCACTGCGAGCTGAGGGAAAATACCCTCGAGACTGAAGGGCGACGGCACGGGCAGGCGACGGCGCCGCGCCCATGTCGTCACCAGGGGGGCTTTGCTCACCCAGGATCACACACCAGCCAGAAAGAGAGAGCGAGGCGCGATCCACATACTTCAGTCCGCCACACCAGCGAAGGTGTTGAAACAAGGCATGATATTGCCAGTATCTACCGTGACACCCGCCGTGCGCAAAACATAGTTGGGATGCTTATCCTTGCAAGGTAACTCCAGCTACATCTGGCCGCACGGGTGGGAGGAGGAAGGCGCTTCGAAGCGAGACCACGGACGGGGCCCCCTGAGGAATAGCACTTGCACCTCGCGCAGATGAACAAGACCGGGCCATCAGAACAATCGAGCGCGACCGTGCGATGCTCGAGCGCGTCCTGATGCGCAGCGTGCAAGGGCGAGTCCTGAGGGCAGACGCCAGGAGCAGGCTTCTCGTCCGATTTGCGGCCCCTGAGGCAGACGGCGCACCTCCGCGCGCCAGGCCGGAACTCCCATCTGTGGCCTGCAGTGGCCTCCGTGGACGATGGGAACGGGATCCGACGCTCGGCCTCCGAAAGATCGAGCGGAGGCCAAAGGTGCAAAACGTGCGCGGCCAGACGGCTGGTCTGGCGAGCATGCAACGCAAACTGGTCTGCGGCATCGAGCTTGTCCTTACAAGAAGGATGGATGCGAACGGCGTTCTTGGCTGCAGCGTCCGCGTGGCGATTGCCGACGCGCCTCCCTCGGTGGCATCTAAATCCGGATCGTCAGGATCCTTATGTGCCGCCACTTTGATGCGCGTCGCGGGCTGGCCACCCTGCGCGAAAATCAGCAGGAACGCACCTGGATAAGCTCTCTTGCCCGACAGCTGCTCGCCCCGATGCCGAGACGCAAGGTTGACCACATTACTGCAATCACTGAACACAGACACCGACGCAGAGGCGAGAACATTGGCCCACGTCCAGCAGCTAAATTCGGCAGACTGCGGCGTCTGCGGGTACGGGGCCCAGACAGGGGCCCTGAACTCACACATAGAGTCACCAGTGTCGTCGACCATGACCACGCTATTTGCGGCCCTGGACAGTTCTCGGATGGGATGGCGCAAGCACGAACCATCGATGAAGACGTTGCCCCAGACCTCCCGTCCAGGAGGCTGGCCCGAAGGAGACAAGATCCCTTGATGGTGCCACGCAAGAAACGGTCCATCCTCCGACTCAGTAAGGGGCCTGGGATAGGTGTCGGCGGGGTGGCGGAAAGCCCCTGAAGTGAAAACGAAGGCGTCCTCGACGCGGTCCTTAGCAGCCAGAGCGGCCGAAACCGTACTGTCGTCCACTAAGCTTGCACGCAGCTCGGCGACAGGGCCGTGGGAGCACTTCCACAATCTATGAAACAACTGAATCGAGGCCCCCCGCAGGAGGGGCAACAGTCGTCCACGATGTAGCCTAAGCTGACCGCTCTCTCTCCAGTGAAAAACGCTTCCGCGGCGAAAGCCCTGATGTGGGCCTTCTGAAGGGCCGTGTACTTCCTAGAGGCCGCGCGGGTGGGAGGAGGAAGGCGCTTCGAGGCGAGACCACGGACGGGGGCCCCTGAGGAATAGCACTTGCACCGCGCGCAGATGAACAAGACCGGGCCATCAGAACAATCGAGCGCGACCGTGCGATGCTCGAGCGCGTCCTGATGCGCAGCGTGCAAGGGCGAGTCCTGAGGGCAGACGCCAGGAGCAGGCTTCTCGTCAGATTTGCGGCCCCTGAGGCAGACAGCACACCTCCACGCGCCAAGCCAGAACTCCCATCTGTGGCCTACAGTGGCCTCCGTGGACGATGGGAACGGGATCCGACGCTCGGCCTCCGAAAGATCGAGCGGAGGCCAAAGGTGCAAAACGTGCGCGGCCAGACGGCTGGTCTGGCGAGCATGCAACGCAAACTTGTCTGCGGCATCGAGCTTGTCCTTACAAGAAGGATGGATGCGAACGGCGTGCTTGGCTGCAGCGTCCGCGTGGCGATTGCCGACGCGCCTCCCTCGGTATCATCTAAATCGGCATCGTCAGGACCCTTATGTGCCGCCACTTTGACGCGCGTCGCGGGCTGGCCACCCTGCGCGAAAATCAGCAGGAACGCACCTGGATAAGCTCTCTTGCCCGACAGCTGCTCGCCCCGATGCCGAGACGCAAGGTTGACCACATTACTGCAATCACTGAACACAGACACCGACGCAGAGGCGAGAACATTGGCCCACGTCCAGCAGCTAAATTCGGCAGACTGCGGCGTCTGCGGGTACGGGGCCCAGACAGGGGCCCTGAACTCACACATAGAGTCACCAGTGTCGTCGACCATGACCACGCTATTTGCGGCCCTGGACAGTTCTCGGATGGGATGGCGCAAACACGAACCATCGATGAAGACGTTGCCCCAGACCCCCCGTCCAGGAGGCTGGCCCGAATGAGACAAGATCCCTTGATGGTGCCACGCAAGAAACGGTCCATCCTCCTACTCAGTAGGGGCCTGGGATAGGTGTCGGCGGGGTGGCGGAAAGCCCCTGAAGTGAAAACGAAGGCGTCCTCGACGCGGTCCTTAGCAGCCAGAGCGGCCGAAACCGTACTGTCGTCCACTAAGCTTGCACGCAGCTCGGCGACAGGGCCGCGGGAGCACTTCCACAATCTATGAAACAACTGAATCGAGGCCCCCCGCAGGAGGGGCAGCAGTCGTCCACGATGTAGCCTAAGCTGACCGCTCTCTCTCCAGTGAAAAACGCTTCCGCGGCGAAAGCCCTGATGTGGGCCTTCTGAAGGGCCGTGTGCTTCCTAGAGGCCAAAGCCTCGCGCAGCACATCATAACAACCGAGGGAGGATACCCAGTTTTTCACCAGAGAGCCGTTCCAACATTCTGAAGTATCCGTCATTCGCCAAGATTTTAAT